TCAGTCAACATCCAAGAAGTAACCCTGTAGGTTACTTGGTTTAAAAGAAAAAGATTTTTCTTTTTAAATTGAAATTCTCCAAGTGTAACCCAGCTGTGAGAGGATGAGGATACGGATTAGAAATTACTCTGCAAGAAAATAATAGAAAGAGGTTTTTCCTTCAAACATCTGGAGGACTGTACTAGGTTTAATATAGAAAGATAAATAATTTGGGTTTTTGCCTTAAATTTAATTAATATCATTTCCAGTTTAAAATTGAATTGAGCAAAGAATATCCTTACATGATATTATTCTACAATGTTATTAATAATTTTTGATATTTTACAACAGCATATTATGCATTTATCCCAAACAAACTTACAAACTAATTCTTTGAATGTTTGGCAGCAATTTAAAAAGAACATGAAATGATTTCATCCCCACTGGGTGGAAGGCCCCCTGGGAAGGCACTTGAGCATTCTGTATTGGCCTCTCTTGCCCTTTTTGCCAAGGGGGTCCCTCTTCCAATTGCCCACAGCTGTTGCCTGAGCTCTCTGTTCATGCTGAGGTTGAAGCCTCATGGTGGCTGGTACCATAGATCTGTCTCTCGCCCAATGGCGTGAGCTAGGCCCTCTCTGGAGAAGAAACCTGGGTTCCCCAAGATATGTGATCAATGCCGGGGCCCTGCCAGCAGGCGAGGGGATCCCAAGACAGTTGCTGGGCGTGGAGGCCACAGGGGCATAGGCTACCAAGGAGACAGAACTGAACCTCACATCACCCTGCTTGGCCCCGGAGGATGGCTGGTTAGACAGAGATGGGTAAGATTCCTCAGGGAAGGAACAACCTAAGACAGGCACAGTCGCAGAGGGGCCATCAGGAGAGAACTTGGGGGTTAACAGAGGTGGGGCACAGATCCTCACCCCCCCCCAACTATGCAGGGGCTTGAACACTTGCCCCTTCTGAGGGAGGTCTCCTGCCCCCATGGCTGCTTCCCGCTTCCCATGCCCAGCTCAGATCCAGACCCAGATAACAGAAAGAGACTTGGCCCAGCTCAGATGGGAACCCAGACAACAGAGACTTGGCTGACAGCAGCTACCCTATTACTAAATCCAGCCTAACACCAGGAATGCTCAGGGCCTTCTCAAGGATGCAAAATAATCCTTTCCATTAATATTTACAGTGTAAACTAAGATTGTTGTTAGAGTATTTAATGTGACAGTAATGAGTTTAATTGAAATAAGTAGTATTAACTAAAATTTTCATTTCATGGTAAAATTGCTTAACATGCAATGAACTTAAAGCAGTCATATTTTTGTGCAAAAAAATATTTAAAGTTATCTAGACTACATTATAAAAATTTTCCAAAAGCCTCCTAATAAATCAAAAAAGGGGGATAGTAGAAAAATATCATGTAAGGAAAAATATCCTGTAACTAAATTACATCTAGAAAAAAATTCTTTTTCATTTGTAATGCTAACAGCAAGACACCCATGAAAAACATACGTGGTGTCAAAATAAGCCAAAGGAAAATCATTTGGGCAAAAATAAAAAGGACCCCAAGTAAAATTTTCCTTTATTAACCTTTGGTTGAGAATACGTTTGTATATTTTCAGAAAACAACTCCAAGACCATGTGGATTCCTGCAACAGAGAGGAATTATCAGGAATGCTCCAGCCATGAGGACAAGAGGAAAAACAATCCAGAGATGGAAGACGCTGACGATGCTTTGCCATGCTAGCAGTCAAGCAGCTGTGCATCGCTGCAGGTTGCCCAGGATCAAACCAGAGAGGCTTGATCTCTGCATTGCCACCATTTGTCCACCATCCAAAACTGAAATATCACTGCTGACATGTACACATGAGGAACTGTTGGACATTGAAATTGGGATTTAAACATTTTTTGTTCTTGAAATGTTATGTTTAAGTTTTAAAAAGTTTTGGGTTATGGATTGGCATTGTTTTGTTATTGTTTTAATAGCCAGAGTTTTGTTCTTGATGTTTAAGTTTTATTTTCATTATAGTAGCTTAATAAAAAAAAAAAAGGGTGAGATGTGGGGGGAACTGATATATGGTTAAGCCTCGGACTGACCTGTTGGCAAAGTCACAAACAAGTCCCAGCTTAGAGGGCACAGTCCTCTTAGCATAATTAGGCTTGACCTTATAACACTTCCTAGATCTTATCTGGGAAGCTAATGGGCTGAGGGAAGTGCAGGAAGTGTAACTATCTATGGTCAAAACAAGTGAAACTCACAAGAACTGTGTAACTATGGTGACCACTGCCCTGTTTACCTCTGACTATAAAAGGTTGGTACAGCCTGAGAACCGGTGGAAGTCCTTCCTCCTGAGTTGGACTTACCCGCCTGGCCCCCAATATTCCCAAATTATCTCGTGTCTCTTCTTTTATTTGTGTGCGGCTCTTCTTCCAATCCTGAACCCTGAACCACGCGGGACATGGAGGGAAACATTTACAACATTGTGATCCCACTACTTCGTTCTTCTTTCTTAAGATTGCTGCAGCTATTTGTGGTCTCTTATGATTCCATATAAATTTTTGGAGTATTTGTTCTAACTCTGTGAAGTATGCCATTGGTATTTTAATAGGGATTGCGTTGAATCTACAGATTGCTTTGGGTAGTATAGACTTTTTATTGATGTTAATTCTTCCAATCCATGGACGTGCTATACGCTTCCATTTCTTTATATCTTCCTCTCTTTCTTTTTTCAATGTCCTATGGTTTTCTAAGTACAAGTTTTTTTACCACCTTAGTTAAGTTTATTCCTAGGTATCTTATTTTTTTTTTGTTGCAACAGTAAATGGGATTGCGTTTTTAGTTTCTCTCTTTGAGAGTTCATTATTGGTGTATAAAAATGCCATCAGTGCTCACTTTGGCAGCACATATACTAAAATTGGAACAATACAGAGAAGATTAGCATGGCCCCTGTGCAAGGATTAACATGCAAATTCGTGAAGCACTCATAAAAATAAAAATGCCATTGATTTCTGGATGTTGATTTTGTATCCTGTTACTTGGCCAAATTTATTTATTAAGTCTATTAGTTTCCTGGTGGAGTCTTTTGGGTTTTCTCTGTACAATATCATCTCATCTGCAAATAATGACAGTTTTACTTCCTCCTTTCCAATTTGGATGCTTTTTATCTCCTCTTCTTGTCTGATTGCTGGGACTAGGACTTCCAGTACTGTGTTGAATTAGGGTGGCGAAAGAGGGCATCTTTATCTTGTTCCTGTTCTTAAATCCCACTTGATCATGGTTTATGATCTTTTTAATATATTGCTGGGTCTGATTTGCTAATATTTTGTTGAGGATTTTAGCATCTATGTTCATCAGGGATATTGGCCTGTAATTCTCTTTCTTTGTAGTGTCTTTATCTAGTTTTGGAATTAGGGTAATGCTGGCCTCATAAAAAAGACCTTAGAAGTGTTCCTGCCTCTTGAAGTTTTTGGAATAGAAATCAATAATAGTATATTTAAAAATTATTATTATTAATTGGGAAACTGAAGGAGAGAAAATTGAAAAGATAAAAAGAAAAAGACTCAAAACTACAGCAGCCATTGGCTACCTCATCAGAGAGACCTTCCCTGACCACCCAATATAAAAACACTAGAAGCCTAGTGCACGAAATTTGTGTATGGAGGGGGGGTGGGGTGTCCCTCAGCTCAGCCTGCACCCTCTCCAATCTGGGATCCCTTGGGGGATGTCCGACTGCCTCTTGAAATCCGGGACCGCTGGCTCCTAACCCCTCTGCCTGCCTGCCTGATTGCCCCAACCACCTCTGCCTGCCTGATCACCCCTAACCACCTCTGCCTGCTTGCCTGATTGCCTGTAACTGCTCCCCTGCCAGCCTGATCACCCCTAACTGCTCCCCTGCCTGCCTTATCACCCCTAACTGCCTCTGCCTCAGCCCCCACACCCGGGCCCCAGGCTTCCCTCCCTCTGGCCGGCCGCAGCACCTGGGAGCTGGGCCGGCTTCTCCCAGGTCGGCCATAGACACCCAGGACCTGGGCCGGCTTCTCCCGGGCCAGCCACAGCCGCAGGTGCCCAGGACCACTGCTGGCTTCACTGGGCCCGGCTTTGTCAGGAAGGACGCCTTTGCCGAAACCAGTTTGGCTCAGTGGATAGAGCGTCGGCCTGCGGACTGAAAGGTCCCAGGTTCGATTCCGGTCAAGGGCATGTACCTGGGTTGCGGGCACATCCCCAGTAGGAGATGTGCAGGAGGCAGCTGATCGATGTTTCTCTCTCATCGATGTTTCTAACTCTCTATCTCTCTCCCTTCCTCTCTGTAAAAAATCAATAAAATATATTTAAAAAAAGAAAAGAAAAAGGAAGGACGCCTGGAAGGTTGTCTGGAAGATGTCTGGTCTAATTAGCATATTACCCTTTTATCAGTATAGATACCCCAATTACTCTCCATCAATAACCAGACAATCAATGGGTCTGGGCTGCCTGTCTCTACTTGAGCCAATTCAGCAGAGCAGTATGGGAGAGCAGGGCAACCATGAAAATCTGCCTGCAACCCCGCATAACAGTCCCCCATAAGCTATCTGCTTATATAGGGTAGGACAAGGATTACATGGGGAAGTAGGAAGTTGGGGTAGGACCCCGTTGTTTGGGCAAGAAGGTTGTTAATCTTTCCATGTTAATAGGCAGTTCTTTTGGTTGTTTTTTTTCACTTTTTCCATATTCTATTGGTTACAAGCAAGATCCAAGCCCTGCCCACACTTGAGGGAAACAAATTACACAGGCCTATGAACACCAGGAGGCAGTGATCATTAGGGTTCATCTTGGAGTCTCTCTGCCATAAGAAGGAAGGAAGGAAGGAAGGAAGGAAGGAAGGAAGGAAGGAAGGAAGGAAGGAAGGAAGGAAGGAAGAATAATTAAGGGTGAGCACTACTACATATTGTATTAATACTTAGGATATTCATGATGCATGCTCTAAAAAGTCTTCTTAAATGTGGTTTAGCTCAGTACTTCCCAAACACATTTGATCAAGAAACTACTTTTCGTGCTCACTTCAGCAACACATATACCAAAATTGAAATGATACAGAGATTAGTGCAGCCCCTGCGCAAGGATGACACACAAATTCGCGAAGCGCTTCATATTAAAAACAAACAGATTCCTATGTCAGAGCCAGGGTAATAAAGACACCTCTATTCAGTCATTGGAAGAGAAAGCTCTAAAAGCCGGTGGGTGTGAGCACATTCAAGTCACGGGGTTTGAGATTAGGGGTCCAAGGCAGTTGTTTCTTCCCTCCCATCACTGGCAGGTCCATCTTGGGCGGCTTGAAGGTGGCTGGGTCTTCGGCCTTTCGGGTGGCCGGCATGCACATCCGTTCCATTGGAGGAGGCTTCTGGGCTCCTCCGTCGGGCTGGGTGGCAAAGCCTCCCGAATCAGACTTCTGGAGGGATCTTGGTCCAAAGAGGCTCCATTTATCTGCCGAGCTTCTGTCTTTATCCCCGCTTCCAGGATCCATGGTGCTAGAACGTGGGCCAGGTGAGGCTGTGGAAGAGCCAGAAGAGAACCGGCCTCCCGGCTTCTGCTTAGGGGAAGAGTGGGGGATGCTGCTGGGGGTGGCCTGGGCGGATGTTGGGGTCCAGCCCCAGCTGGTCCAGGGGTTCCCAAAGATGTGGACGGAGTCGGATAAGAAGGAATGACACGGAGGCAGCCTTCAGTCGATCAGCATAGCCAGGATCTGTCTTTAGGTTCTCCAGCCATGTTCTGTCTCCAGGTTCTCCAGCTAGGTTCTGTCAATGGGCAGTTCTTGAATGAGAATGGACCACAGTCCAAGGTTGACTCCTAGGTCCCAGGGTTGTACAATTCCCAGCCAGGTGAGAATGTCCTTTCTTTAACCAATATAAGGCAATCATAGTTAACAGAGCATGATTAATATTTTCCATAACCATAACTAGTCCCCAATATTCTATTTTTGCCCCTAACATCCTACATATTCTGATTCATTTTTCTTCATGGCATCTTTCATATTATGTATTTACTAGAGGCCCAGTGCATGAAATTCGTGAATGGGTAGGGTCCCTAGGCCTGGCCAGGGATCAGGGCCATCGAGGTCTTCCTGCTGCCAGCTGAGGCCTTCTTTCATTCTGCGCTGCCCCCTGGTGGTCAGCGCATGTCCTAGCGAGCAGTCGAACTCCCAGTCAGTTGAACTCTGGGTTGGTCGAACTCCCGAGTGGACAATTTGCATATTAGCCTTTTACTATATAGGATTTCTTGGTTTGCTTATTGTCCATCTTCCCCTTTGGAAAGCAACTTTGTTAGCCCAGGAACCTTTTTGTTCTAAAGCCTAAAGAGAGCCTGGCACATAGTGGACACTCAACAAACATGTGTTTAATGAATGAATGAATCCCACACATCTTTCGATATTAGTACACATGACCTAGTTCCTTCTTTGTGGTACCTGCAGAGTATTCCACTTTATGCCCACATAGCATTTTCATTAACATGTCCCCATATGGAAGCATATTTATGTTAGTTCCAGTACTTTACAAATCCAAACAACGCTATAATGGCCTTATATAATCAACTAGGGGCCCAGTGCACGAATTCATGCACCTTGAAAGGAACTGTGGTCTGTGAAGCTGTGGTGGACAAAAGGGCAGGTCTTGGCCCATCATCCACACCCCCACCCAGCCCCTCCCATCATGGCCCCCAGTCTCCTGTCTGCCAGCAGCCCCACTCCCACCACCGCCACTTCCACACACTGATGGCACCAGCCCCTTGCACCTGCTGACGGCGTGGAGCGATTGGGGCCAGGGCCAGCAGCAGGTGCAAGCAGGGCCGGCGCCGTCAGTGGGTGCAAGTGGCAGCTGCTGCCCTGATTGCCCCTCAGGAGCAGGAGGAGGTGCAGAAGCCCTCAGGGGTGATCAGGGCCAGCAGCCACCGCTCGCACCTACTGTCAGCGCCAAGTGATTGGGACCAGTGCCAGGTGGCGCTGGGCGGGATCACGGTGCACAGGAGCAAAAAACTTTCAGTAACCACCAGAGGCTCACCCCAATGACAGCAATCGGTGCCCCACCTTTGTCTGGCGCCCCCACTTACCTGCTCCACCATCCCGCTGCAGCTGATGCCCGCCGTGTTCTGCGCTCACCCCCTGCGCTGACCAATTGTTCAGTTGTTCCGCCATTCAGTCTATTTATTTTTATTTTTATTTTTTTAAAAATATATTTTATTGATTTTTTACAGAGAGGAAGGGAGAGATAGAGAGTCAGAAACACCGATGAGAGAGAAACATCGACCAGCTGCCTCCTGCACATCTCCCACTGGGGATGCGCCCACAACCCAGGTACATGCCCCTGACCGGAATCGAACCCGGGACCCTTCAGTCCGCAGGCAGACGCTCTATCCACTGAGCCAAACCGGTTTTGGCCAGTCTATTTAAATATTAGGGTTTTATATAGATAGATTATCTTTGTGCAGACGGGAGAGAAGTGGAGTAAATGGTTTAAAGAGTTTGTGCATTTTTTAAAAATTAGCTATTGCCATATTGCTCTTAATAATGCTCTCCCAATTTATATTCTTACACTGTACTGAAATACCTATTTTCTCACATTCTCACCAATACTATTCATGATCTTTTTACTCTTTATTGATCTCATAAGTTAAAAGCAACATCACTTTATTTTATTTTATTTTATTATTTTATTTTATTTATAGTGAGTTGAAGCTCTGGCCAGGTAGCTCATTTGGTTAGAGCATTGTCTAAATATATCAAGGTTGTGGGTTTGATCTATGGTCAGGGCACATACAAGAAGCAACCAATGAATCCATAAATAAGTGGACCAACAAATTGATGATATTCTCTCTCTCTCTCTCTCTCTCTCTCTCTCTCTCTCAATAAATTAATAAAAGATAGTGAGTTGAACCTCTTTTCACATGTTTATGAACCATTTGTTCTTTCCCCCTGTATTTTGTTCAAATTTTTTACACGCTTTCTCACTTTCTTTGCTTTTTACTTAGATTTGTGAAAGAATTTTGTATCTCTAAGAAATTCATCCTTTGTCTTATTTGCTAAAAATAACTTTTTCCCATTTTTCCTTTATCAGTTGGAGGCATATTTCTGTATATAAGTCGTTTAATTTTTAATTTTATGTAATCTAATTTATCTATTTCTGGCTTCAGGGTTTGGGGGTCACAATTAGAAAGAATTTTCAGACAAGATTTAAAAAAATAAATCAGTTTTTTAAAAGAGCTTTTATGGATTCATTTTTTTAAAAATTAAATCTATATTGTTCAGATTATTACAGTTGTTCCTCTTTTTCCCCCCATTGCTCCCCTCCACCTGGTTCACACCCCACCCTCTGCCCTTACCCCTCCCCACTGTCCTCATCCATAGGTGTACGATTTTTATCCAGTCTCTTCCCGCACCCCCCACACTCCTTTCCCCCCCAAAAAATAGTCAGTCCCCTCCCTTTCTATGCCCCTGATTCTATTATATTCACCAGTTTATTCTGTTCATCAGATTATTTATTCACTTGATTTTTAGATTCACTTGTTGATGGATGTGTATTTGTTGTTCATAATTTGTATCTTTACCTTTTTCTTCTTCTTCCTCTTCTTAAAGGATACCTTTCAGCATTTCATATAATACTGGTTTCGTGGTGATGAACTCCTTTAGTTTTTTCTTATCTGTGAAGCTCTTTATCTGACCTTCAATTCTGAATGATAGCTTTGCTGGATAAAGTAGTCTTGGTTGTAGGTTCTTGGTATTCATCACTTTGAATATTTCTTGCCATTCCCTTCTGGCCTGCATAGTTTCTGTTGAGAAATCAGCTGACAGTTGTATGGGTACTCCCTTGTAGGTAACTGTCTATCTTTCTCTTGCTGCTTTTAAGATTCTCTCTTTGTCTTTTGCTCTTGGCATTTTAATTATGATGTGTCTTGGTGTGGTCCTCTTTGGATTCCTTTTTTTGGGGTTCTCTGCGCTTCCTGGACTTGTAAGTCTATTTCTTTCACCAGGTAGGGAAAGTTTTCTGTCACTATCTCTTCAAATAGGTTTTCAATATCTTGCTCTCTCTCTTCTCCTGGCACCCCCATAATTCGGATGTTGGTACGCTTGAAGTTGTCCCAGAGGATCCTTACACTATCTTCATATTTTTGGATTCTTTTTTTATTTTGTTTTTCTGGTTGGGTGTTTTTTGCTTCTTCATATTTCAAATCTTTGACTTGATTCTTGTGATCTTCTGGTCTGCTGTTGGAACTCTGTATAATATTCTTTATTTCAGTGTATGCTTAATTTCTAGTTGGTCCTTTTTCATAACCTTGAGGGTCTCACTAGATTTCTTGAGGGTCTCACTAAGTTTATCGGCGGTTTCTAGAGAATTCTTGAAAAACCTTAAAAGTGTTGTTTTGAACTCTATATCCAGTCGTTTGCTTTCCTCCATTTCTGTCATTTGTGACCTGTTTCTTTGTCTCTGCATTTTTATAAAAAATGGCTTTCTGTGCTAGGTGTCCTATAGGGCCCAGTGGCTCAGCCTCCCCAATTACCCGAGGTGGACACTCTTGGTTCACCCCTTTGTGGGCTTTGTGCACAGTCTTGTTGTAGTTAAGCCTTGATTGTTGTAGGTATCACTGGGAGGAATTGACCTCCAGGCCAATTGGCTGTGAGAATCAGCTGTGTCTGCAGTGGGAGAACTTCTGTGCTGGAGACACCCTTCTGGGGCAAGACTTGCTTCAGTGGGGCTTTGGTGCTCACTGAGTCTCCCCCTGAGTGTGTCCCTTATGGATCTGAGGAGTTGTAATCTGGATGGTCCCACTCTGACCACTGGGTACACTGGCTCTTGGACCTCTAAGGAGGTGCTAATTTAGCCTCTGCCTGAGGCTACCCAGCAGGAGCTACGGGGAGATCTGCAGATTCCCCTTCTTTGTTTGGGGTTTGGAGGTGCCCAGATGAGGCCCAGCTGTGAAGCAATGCAAGCTGCTGTGGGGCCTTGGGCCTTCTTTTGGAAGTTCTGGGTCTCTCTGACCCAGCTGCAGTTTGTTAGGTAATTTTCAGATTGCAAAAGGCCAGGCCTTTCATATGAAAAGCCTCTGCGCACAGCTTGGGTGGGGCTGGGTCTCTGGGGATCAACAGGGTGAAGCAAGCAGCTATGGCTGCTCCTCAATCGTACCCAAAGAGGCCCCACTTCTCAGTGTCCCGGTAATCACTGCAAGCACCTCTGAGAGAAAGCTGCCATTGAGTTCCGACCAATGCCAGACAGTCCAGTTTCTCCCCGTATGAGTCTGGGTCCCCAGAGACTCGCCTGGAACTGGAGTTCAGAGCAGTCAGGAGCTTGAGACTCCCTCCCAATTGAAAAAGACAACCATGTCCTCAGCTGCCAGCCCTTTCCACGTGCGCCTCTGTACCTCTGCACTTTACTTCCACACCGCACCTCCTCTGAGTCTCAGTGTGCTTTTCTCTTTCCTTCTAGTTGTGGAATTTTCACTCAGCCAGCCTTCCTGTGGTTCTGGATGATGTCCGTTAGTCTTTTAGTTGTATTTTTGAAGTGGTTGTGCGAGGCAGCAATTTCCGGTGTTTACCTATGCCACCATCTTGGTTTTCTCCTGCATTCATTTTTAAAAATTTAAATCTTTCATTGATATAGACTATATTTTGGTGTAAGAAGTAAATAGGGGATCTTTTTATCTTTATCCCACACAGCTAGCCTGTTGTTGCAGCATCATTTACTGAATGTTCATCAACCTGCAATTTCTCCTTCATCTTGTATTAAATTCTTACATTTGGGCCTCCTTCTCAGTAGATCTATCAGCTTATTCTTACTAATAGCTTTGTGACTACTCTTTATTTTTATTTTTCCAGACTAACGTTAGTATCATTTGGTGAAGGCAGAGAAGAGAAGAGGAGATAGAGAAAGCAGAGATACATTAGGCCTAATCAGGGCCTCTCAGCTTAGTGCGTGGAAGTGAAACAATCCGAGGAGGGAGGGTCAACAGTGTCAAATGCCTTGGAGACATTAAGAGGGAGACTGAAAAGTATCCTCTGGATTAGCCAATACTATTAGAAACCACTGGTACTCTTAGGGCACATAGGTTGTGTAGAGGGAGTAGGTAGGAATTTATTTTAAAATAAAAAAATGTTAATAAAATTGTACTTTACCAGATAGGTTTGGTTTCTATTACATATGGAGACAATCCAAATAAGTGCTCATACAAGACAGCGGCTTTCATCTCTCTCACATTGATGAAGTTGGGATGCAGTCATTCTGCAGCGAATAAGGACCCAGACCTTTCACACACATCTTAGTGCTGGCTTCCATGTGCAAGATTGCCTCATGGTCCAGGACAGCTGCTTGAGGTCCTGCCATCACGTGCACATTCCAGGCTGGAATAATCAAGAAGGGGAAGGTGCAAAGGGCATAATTCCCAGCTGAGTAGGCTTTTAGAAGCTTTCTCAGAATTCCCATCCCAAAAAGTTCCACCGAGATATCATTGGCCACCTACAAGCTCAGGACGGTGTTGAGGTGAAAGAAGTGCTGGGTGAGTTGAGGGTGTTCCTGGGAACACCCATAACCAGCTGGACAAGCTTTCATATTGTAGCATTGCCTTCGTGAGTTTACTGTAACACTGGCAGCAGATGGGCCTGCAAGGTACCTTGTAGGTGGATATATCGCTATCCGGAATAAAATGTTAAGGAAGGAGTAGAGATTGGCTATAAAATAGTAAACAACAGTCCATTATTAGCAGATATTAAAATAAACAGCGGTACCAGAAGTCTCAAACTGGAGGTCAGGAGGCCAGTTTCATCTTGTAGAGATAATTTTACAATTTCTAGTTAGTTTTTAAGAGTTAAAAGTTAATATATTTTTCAATGCCCGAGCCAGTTTGGCTCAGTCGATAGAGCATCGGCCTGTGGACTGAAGGTTCCTGGGTTTGATTCTGGTCAAAGGCACATGTCCAGGTTGTGGGCTCGATCCCCGTGAGGGGCATGCAGGAGGCAGCCGATCAAAGATTCTCTCTCATCAAAGATTCTCTCTCATCATTGATGTTTCTCTCCCCCTTCCTCTCTGAA